AATGTAAATTTCGTGGGGATCTGCCTTTGAGAAAGGTATCAATACAGATTCGGTTATTGAATTTTTTTGATTGGTAATGCCTTGGATCATCATGTTTTCAGAAAATCGGTTCTTATATTTTTCTGCTGTTTTTGGTTTGAAACTTGATAGTGTGGCTCCTGTGTCGATTAATATTTTGAACGTGTTGGTAGCGTCCATAATAGGTTCGTTCCAACCTTGAGTCACCAACATATTTCCGACAGTTTGTAAATCGTTGTCAACGCGCATCTCTGGTAGATATTGGTTTCTGATTAATTTGAAATTTCTGATTGGAACAGCTGATAGTTCAACTGAAGTTTGGCATGGAATTTCAACATAACCTTCAAAAATAATTCTAATTAAGTGTATTTCTGGAGAGTAGTAGTAGTAGACTTCATTTTAAGAATCCTAATATACAATATATAGTTATGCATATATGAATAATTTATATACGTATATAATTTCACAGTGCGTCATGTATTACAATTTGATATATTCTAATAATAACTTTTTGAATACTTTTAAGGAATTTACATGTTTTATTTCATCAGGTAACTTATTCAAACTATCTAGACCTTTAAAGAACAATGAATTTATTCCACTCTCATAGTTTGTTCGGGATCTATAAAGTGTATTACATGTTCTTGTGTTATATGAATGAATGTCACTATTTCGAACTGAATACCTGCTAAGATAGGCTGGTTGTATCCCACTCGAAATTTTGAAAATAAAAATTATGCTGAAATAATACAGTCTTTTATGTACCGGCTGCCACTGTAGAGTATTCAACATAGATTCAATAGGGGTATACTGGTTACATCTCAAAATGATTCTCATACCTCGATTTTGTAGTTTCTGCAACTGTCACATTTGATTTTGGTTGAATAGATACATCAGTGTGGCACAGTAGTCAAAGTGTGGCCTCATTATGCAGTTCTAACATGTTAGTCTAGCAAAGGTTGATAAAGATTTTGAAATTCTTAAGAAAAAATACATTTTCTCACATATCTTTCTAATGCATGCTTATTCAAATTTAATTGATAGTCTATAATGAATCCTAGGTACTTAATTTCAATTACAATTGTGAGTTGATTATTGAATATGCTGATATTAACGTCGTTAGTATCAATTTTTCTTTGATTCGAATTTGTTGTAACCATCATTGCCTTAGATTTATTGATATTCAATTTGAGTTTATTCACTTGTAGATAAGGTTAGAAAATAATCCTCAAACCATTCTGATAGATTTCGAACAGGTTTGAATCTTGGATGGAATAGAAAACTGATAGTTTACTAATGGTTGGAAACTCACGTTGGAACGCAATCACATTACTGCGCAGAATCCTGACTGTCAGAAACTGTTTCTGACGCTGGTTGGAACGAACCTAATGTTATATACATTTTTTGAATTGGCCGTGAGGGATTGTCCTATATGAATTTCTGTTCTGGGAAATTCAAATTGGGGCTCAAATCGTGTTTGTTCAGGGTTTGAATGTGGGTTTGAATTTATTCGATAGAGGGAGAATCGGGTTGTAAAGGATCTATTTGAAAATCCTGATTTGTTTGCTAATATGTATTTTGGTTGAGTAAGCTAATATGTATTTTGGTTGGAGTGGTTTCACTTTTTGAATAGCTTCGAGCATGGAAGCTGGGTTTTCGGCTCTTACTATTTGTCCTATGTTAGGTTCTGATCCTACCAAGAGAGTATTTAGAGTCATGGTTTGAATTAGACTTTGTTGTGCTGGCTTCTCTTCTGGAGTAAGCGGTTGTTTTTGAAATGCCGTGTGCATTTTTGCATCGTAGGTTTGAAGTCTGTTTATGAATGTTAAAGGGAACTCATTGGGCATTTGATAAATTCTTTGAAAGTCTTGTATTTAAGAGGCTAAATCACGTGTGTCACCAAAATGTTGGATTAACAGTAATTAAATTTCGTCCCATGTTTGAGGGTTTCGAGAACGGATGCTTTTCTTTTTAATTTGTTATGTTGATGTTATCAAAATCTTTTGATCTTGTACGGCCATGCGGTAAGCTGTATTACAAGTATGCAAAAATGTATTGATGAAAATTTGATCTCCAGTACAATGATATAAAAAAGCATTCTTTATCGGATTTTAACGGATTAACGATTAACGTTAACACGCGTTGAATCGTTTCAAATATAATGGTTTAACTTTTAACGAAATTAACTTTTTTGGTAACGGATTGGCAATTGAAGAAGTTCATTATTTGATTAATGGTGCCCAGCTGTGACTGTACCTTACCCATGTGCCAAAATATTTCTGGGGGTTTGTTTCGCAGGTCATTTCGGAAGAATATTGAATGCATAGGAAAACAAAAATCTCACTCGGAATTAACCAGGTACCAATTCCGAAAATATTAGCAATAATTTCAGTTACTGCTCAAACCAAAATGTACAATAATAATTATGAAACAAGTAATATTTGGAGGATGTAATTGCTTATCCGGAGTCGAAACCTTTAACAAAATGTGGAATTATAAATCATGTTTTTACCCGATACATGCTTTATTAAGTTTTAAAAACCAGCCCAGATGTCGCTACAATAATAAGTTGAGCGGCACAACCTGAGGGTAGGCACCCTCTATATAATTGATATGAACATTGAACACTCTATTCGGTTTGTATTCCAAGTATTCGTTATGGAATTGAATCAGATATTATTCACAGGATTGCTACACAATATAATGAATAATGAGGTAAAATTCAACTTACATGGAACACTATCATCCTCACTGTTGAACATCCGATGTTTCGCCGTAAGACACTTGCCTTATCGGCTCTTCAGTTCAATCACGACTTTATGTCACGAATGAGTTGAAAAAAAAAAGGTCACTAAATTTTTGGGAAAGCACAATATACTGAGTAGCTCACAGTTTGGCTTTCAAAGATCCAAAAGTACAAATGATGGTATATTTTTCTTTCTGGAAGATTTATATGTGGGGCTTAATAGAGGTGAAGTGGCTGCGGCAGTATTCGGTGACTTTGTGACTTTTCTAAGGCCTTTGTTTCTTTATGGCATCAAAAGAACAACCCCAAATTGGTTCCGATCTTATCTTTCGGTACAGAATTCAAATGGTGAAGTCTCTAGTTTTTCGAAAATAACCTGTGGACTTTCTCAAGGATCAATGCTCGGCCCAATTTTGTTTCTTATCTATGTGAATGACCTATCTAATATCGACATATATGGGAAGTTTACAATGTTCGCAGACGAAATGTGTCATGAAAATGATACAGACTCTCTGAAAAATATAAATGACGTTGATTTACAGAAGTCAAATCTTGGTGTGATTCCAATTCTTTGTTTCAATGTGAATAAAACTAACATAATTTCGTTCAAATGTGTTTCTGGAAACCTAAGCCTCCAGAATCATGTCATCGAAAAAAAGACGTGCACTAAATTCTTGGGATTATGGGTTGATAATACCCTGAAGTTTGATGAACACCTAAAATATCCCAACAAAAAACTTGCATGTGGCTGATATTTTCGCGAGAAAGGTCTATCAGTTTATGTTTCCGTAGTCCGGTTGCATTTGGCTGCTACGCTATCAAGGTCATCACCAAGGGATTGGAAATAGTAGCAGGAAAAACATCGTATTTTTCATTAGTTGAGTCTCATCTGAGGTATGGTATCGCTTTCTGACAATGGAATGACTTTCAGAGAGGAATGTTTCGGATAATTGAATCAAAATATATCAGAAAAATGTGTACTTCTGGACTTTATCAGCAACTGAAGATTTAATAGGAATATTTACGTTAACAAATTTTTGGAAAAACTGTATCTTTTACAGCTCTTTAGAAACCAAATATCTGCTTGTATTAGCCTAATTTTTGTTGAGTACATACGATTCAGATTCAGTTCCGTTGACCTGGCCGTCATTATGTACTTGTGATGCACTGTTTGGAACCTTCGGTGTAGTAATCACTATTACTGGAATTTTTTCCCAACATCAAACCGTTATTTTAACACCTCTACACGTGTTTCGATCACCAAGTAATCACCTTCAAGAGGAAGATTCAACTAAATATACTTACAATGTTATCCTTATTCATACCATAGATACCTCTTCTAGGTACCTTCGTCTTGAGTGTCATAAGAGAAATCTGTACAATAACAGCAGTCCCTTAGAATTAGATAGCTATAGTCTATATAAAAAACTAACATATAGATTAGACGAAAATGATTAGGCACAATGAAATGACTTTCAGAGAGGAATGTTGCGGATGATTAAGAAAGTACACAAACCAAGATAAATATATCTCAGTTCCATACCACCAATACACGAAGAACTTTGGAAATATTTTCAAGGAACTAGGTATGAAGGTGGTTTTTAAAACAAGCCATACACTATAGAGCCTTTTGGGAAGTCCAAAAGACAAAGTCGAGAATTCGGAAATGTCTGGAATTTACGAAATTGAATGTAAGGACTGGGATGCAAAATATTATAGACAGACAAAAAATCTATTAAAGTAAGATATAAGGAACACTTAGCACAAAACCATTTCATATACTTTATTCATTGAAATTAGTTAGACAAGTTAACAACAACAGACATACAGATGCTTATGAGAGTGTTGAGTGTGGACCAATACCTAATAGTATACTATATAGTTTGTTGAAATAATATTTCATTTATCAGATTCACCTACTTTTATATAATGCAACATTGTGAAATTAATTCAAGACACTCAAGACACAGGTACCTAGAAGAGGTATCTATGGCATAAAGGATAACTTTAAAAGTATATTTAGTTTAATCTTCCTCTTGAAGATGATCACTTGGTGATCGGAACACGTGATGAGATGTTAAAATAGCGGTTTGGTGTTAGGAAAAACTTAGTAATATTCATTTATAAAAAGTCTAAAAATCATATATCCAAGTTTAGATCCTGGTGGTACTTAATGATTTTTCATTAGATGAACTTGACTTTTTTATATTATTGTACACTACATCCACTTTTTTTAATGAGTGTGATTTCAGGATCGCCTTACACATGGTCTTCTCGTGGCCCTACCATTGACGGGGGAGTGGGGGTTCACGTATGTGCCCCTGGAGGTGCAATAACATCTGTTCCAAATTTTACGCTTCGCTATTCACAGCTTATGAATGGTACTTCTATGGCGTCTCCACATGCTGCTGGGACAATAGCCGTCCTTTTGTCGGGATTAGTTCAACAAAACTTGTCATATTCGCCTTATGTAGTTCGTAGGGCCTTGGAAAATACAGCATCTTTCATTGAGGGAGTCGAGGTCCCAGCGCAAGGCAGTGGTTTGATACAGGTTGAAAAGGCGTTCGATTATCTGGTCAACTTCAATGCAGAGTGCGATAGAAATGTGAGATTTCAAATACAGTGCGGATCACTAAACTCCAAAGGGATATACATTCGTTCGAAACCACATACCTCGTCTCATACTTTCAAAGTTTCTGTTGAACCCCACTTTCTTGATTGCGACAATATTCCGGCGGAAACTAAGATCTACTACAATCAGAAATTTGTATTAACTTGTGATGCGACTTTCATCAGTTTTCCAGTGCACTTGGATTTGTCTAATGCTACCAGAATGTTTGCTATAAAAATCGATACATCATCCTTATGCGAAGGTTTATATTGCACATTTATTAAAGCATATGACGTGAGTTGCATTGAGAAGGGGCCAGTATTCAAGATACCAATAACCATTTTACAACCTAAAGGAATAACGGAACCAAAGTATAGTCTCACCTACAATAAAGTCAACTTCAAGCCCAATACAATCAAAAGATATTACTATACTGTACCGAATATGGCAACTTGGGCTGTCTTGAAGTTATCTTCGGATGAAGATAGTGGTAGATATGTCATTCATGCACTTCAGGTCATGCCACGCCAGCATTGCAAAGCCCTAGAAACGAACAGAACTGTAGCGGTGACTTCTAAATCAGACTCTTACATATGTTTCCCCGTTAAGGGAGACCTGATTCTAGAGTTGGTTATTGCTAAGTACTGGGCTAATTTTGGTGTATCCAATCTGGATTACAGTCTTTCATTCTATGGAGTTAAACCCAACTATCCGTCAATAACAATGCACGCTGCTGATGGAATACAAACAGTTGAAATCAAAACTCTACAAGGCGAAGAAATATATCCTTCTATCACTCTGAAAAACTCCGTCCAAGTATTGAAGTAAGCATGTGATACTTATAGATTTCAACAATTTCAAATTTTTCTTTCAGGCCTTCAGAGGGAAAAATAGTACCTCTGACTGCTCGAGACATCATTCCCCCAAGCAGACAAATTTATGAGTTGGTTTTGACGTACAATTTCAACTTATTGAAGCCATGTGAGGTGTCTCCGAACCTAGCACTTTTGAGCGATATGCTGTACGAGTCTGAGTATGAGTCACAGTTTTGGTTTTTATATGATTCTAATAAACAGTTAATGGGCTGTGGTGATGCCTATCCTTCAAAGGTAGTAAAAAATACAATATATTGTATTTTTTGACAAGCTCTTTTCAGTATTGCATCAAGCTGGAGAAAGGAGATTATTCCATAAAGCTACAAGTGCGTCATGATAGAAAAGAAAACCTGGAGAAAATAAATGAGGCCCCTTTGCTGCTCTCTCAGAAGCTGAACAATAGCATAACTATGGATGTCTATCTCTCATATTCACAAGCACTCATTGGAGGTAAAAAAGTTGGAATCACTAATAATTCTAACCCCTCGGTGGCAATCCCTTTGTACATCGCTCCATTGGCTTCTGACAAGTAAGTTCCTTGGTAGAAATAGTCAACTTTTCAGCCAATCTTTTTTTCAGATTCCCAGTTAAGTCGAATAATCATGCCCACTATTTAACAGGGACAGTTACATTTGCAAAGGATGAACATGGAAAAAAAGTTGATGTGTATCCAATAAAATATATTTTATCTGATGGTGGGAAGAAGTCGACTTCGAGCAATGGAGGAAATGGCGAAAAGACCAAGTTAGAAGAATTAAATGAAGCCATTAGGGACCTCAAAACTCAGTGGTTGTCAAAATTAGGCAAGTAACGTTTTATACCTAGTTATTGAACAAAGATAATTGCAGTTATGGTTCGGATACTAAGAAACTTTCAGTAAAATAAGCGCTACATATTTCATCAACTGATAGTTTCTTAACTTCAATAAATCTGATTAGGAGTTTATTTGAAGCGCATAATTTTTTTTGGGTTGGCTACTATGTGTATTTGTCATCAGAGTCAGTAACCATGTTAGTTTTTCACACGTCTCTTCATCTGAATATTAAGAATTGGAAAATATATACAATGAAAACAAAAATTTTAACTAAAAAAATCACTATATAAATATCAACTACATATGGCAACTGATACTAATGACGAATATGTATTTATCATTGATATTAGTTGCCATATGACTATATGATTTGTACTTTTCCAAAAAAGTCTTTTTTTTGAAGATCATAAAAACAGTTCAATGTTGTCAAGAGATTTTCGAATAGAAAAACAACGCGAACAAATGTATCTAAACTGCAGGTCTAAACCTGCCGACCACGAGTAATATCTTTGAAACCACCTATTTTCCTTGATTTTTTTTTGTTTTCAACCTTCCACAGAAGATCTGCTCAAGTATAACAAAAGACAGAGTGAAAAGGCCACCCCGAAAAGTTACTGCATAATATAAATCTCTGAAGAAAAATTTCAGTTTGTGTTACGACCCCTCGGATTATCAGAAATACGAAAATTCCAAAACAATATCATTCATAAAATATATGAATTAATCCAAGACATAGCAGAATATTACGATTATATTGTGCTAGAGACAATTCTAGTCCTTATTACCTGAGGAGAACTAAGTTAAACAAATAACAAACATAACTTTCTCATAAAGCTACTACTGTAGAATGAAACCACGTTTCTAGTAAAACAGCATCAGTAGCCTCGTGTTTCACTACACTCAAGGACCACCCACGTAGCTAAGACAATAAATCAATTTACATGGCAAGTCCAATTATATTTGGGATATGCTTGAGTTATTTATGAACCACTCTCATCATAAATTTTTACTAAAAAGGAAAAAATTAAATTTGAAGCGCCGTAAATTAGACACCAGAAAGTCCTANACAATATCCTGAAGCTATTGTACCAATAGAAAGAGATATGTACAAGGATGACCTAATAAGTAGCTTTCCATCAATTACAAAGGCCTTTGAAGCTCATTCCCAAATAGTGGATTTGTTTCAATCTGGTGGATTTCAAATGGTTAAATGGATGTCTAATTCCGGAGTATTTCTTTCCAAATTCGTTAAAATTTCCGAATCCAGTAGAATTTGACAGGAGTATGCTGAAAATTTTGGGTCTACAGTGGAATCCTCCGAAAGACAAATTTAATTTTAAAGTTGAGAACCAGTTTGCTCCTGGTACAAAACACTTTGGAATTTGAAATTTGAATGACATCAAACCGGTACGGAGAATTTAGTAAAAATATGGAATAACATTCAGTTGGAATTGCCTATGTTGAATAGATTTGAAGTTCTTAGACATATTTCAGTATTTGAAAATTCCCTACTGTCTCTCATTAGCGGCTGTCATCTATTGCACATTTCTTTGTGCACAATAAAAAATCAGCCCTACATCCAAAATCACCCTACCTCGTTTGGAGCTAAATGCAGCAGTACTTTCAGCTAAACTTTTATCGCATGAAATCAACATTTACTCTCCTAGGCATAAAATAAATGAAGTATATGCTTTTTATGATTCCATGATTACTTTGAGCTGGATACATTCTCCCTCCGAAAAATGGAAAACTTATGTTTCTAACAAAATCTCCAAATTATGTAGTTATTTACCAACTAAACATTGGTATTTCGTTTTTGGTAAGCATAACACCTCGGATTGCGCCTCCAGAGGCTTGACACCATTCGCGCTTATGAATCACCCCACTTGGTTTTGTGGATTCTCCTGGTTGACATTAGAACCCTCTGAGTGGTCAGTCAAGTCTGTAAATAAGGTTGAAATCAATGAAATTGAGGAAGGAAAAATTGATCTTATTATCATCTGATGAAACAATGTCGTCATTATATTCTCTCATAAATTATTTCTCTTCTTGGTCAAAAGTATTGAATGCAACCATTTTTGTTTTGAGATTTGCCAAAATATTACCTGTTTGTAAAGTTGTTGATATTGCTGATTTGGAAAAGGCAGAACTCGCTTTGATAAAAGGGGTTCAAAAACGACACGATTTTATCTGCTGGCGATATTATTCATCAACGTGTCTGGAAGTGTAATCAGTTTCAAACTGAAACCTAAACCTACTTATCCAATCATGGGTGATCTTCCTAAAGAAAGAGTTAATGAATCCAAAGATTTTTTCTTAACCGGAGTTGATTATACAGGAGCATTTCACATCATCATGAGTCGAAGAAGAGGTATTGAAAGCCAAAAGGCTTATTTGCTCGGCTACGAAAGCCATTCACCTAGAACTTATCTAGTGGATCTTTCTTAGCTGCATTGAAACGATTTTTATCACTGAGAGGTCACTGTTCCACTTTGTTTTCAGACCAAGGTTCGAATTTCAAAGGAGCTGAAACACAATTAAAAGATGTTTATCAGCTCATTAAATCCCTAACCTACAAATATACGTTTCAAAAAGATTTGAACTTCCAGAAAATATCATTTAGATTTAATCCCGCTTCCGCCAGTCATTGGGGTGGAATCTGGGAATCTAGGAATCTAATATAAAAAGTGTGAAAGCCCATTTGGCCAAGGTCATAGAAAATCAAATTTTAAGTTATGAAGAATTCAATACTGTTCTCGTAAAGATCGAAGCTCTTCTCAATTCGAGACCCTTGTGTTGTTTAAGTAATGATCCCACCGATCCAATAGCTATAACCCCCGCACATTTTTTGTATAGTTTCCCACTGAAATCACTACCAGTGGAATATTGTCTGAACGAAAAGATCAACCCTCTGAACAGATTCAACTATTAGACTCTATAGTCCAACATTACTGGAAGCGTTGGCACGTGGAATACCTTTCAACGCTTAAGGTTCGGCAAAACTGGAATTCCCCGTCTAATCCTCTAGAAGTCGGTATGATTGGTATTATCATTCAGGATAATATTCCTCCATTACAATGACCATTGGCTGTTATCGAGAAACCATTCCCAGGAAAAGATGGGATAATAAGAGCGGCACTTGTACGAACGAAGAATGGATCTTACACTCGCCTAACAGTTAAACTTTGTCCTCTACCCAATCAGTAGGGACACATCGTTCGAAAATTTCACTTGTAAATATTTATATTTTTGTTTTAGGTGATATTTGTATTTTCGCCTTATTGAGAATATATTTCCATTGTTAATTTTTCAGATTTCCTGGAGATAAGATTGACTTTACTATTACTGTCATTTGTGTTGCCTATTTCTCAGGTCCTACGCTTTGATAAATGGCATTTTGCATTGTCGAAGGAAGAGAGGAAGTTTTTTCTTGACCAGAATAGATCGGACTAATAGTGAATATTTCTTACGTTATTCAACTATAATAATTGTTAGATTATCAAAGAATCAGTGATGTGTGTATTTACAATCTTCACTCCTATTTCCCTTCCCAAGCCAAATTTCTCGTTTCCTTGGAGTGTAAAACCAGAGGATTTTGGAGAATTCGTCTGTCTGAAAACAGGTGAGTGACAAAATCGTTAACAGAACTGATTTTCCATACAGTCCATTTTATTCACACCAACATCATTTCATGAAATATAGTCTGTAGAGAAGTCAATAACCATTTGAAGCCAGTGTTAATGTGTCAAACAGAGACATTCCTGAGGAGCCACTCACTGATAAACTGACGAGCTTAATTAATCCACACATGATGGAATGCAATGCAAGAATTTGATCCTTAACAACCTGCCATCGTAAATTGAAAATATTTATGAGATGACTACAGATACAGCTATGAGGATACTAGACCACCCATAGAAGTACAATGACTCCTTAGTTCTGTATAAAATCAGGAAAAGATTTTCCTGATACCAGTAAATATATGTCTAGTTATCCAATTGAGGTGGCGAACCAAATATAGAAGTTTTTGATTAGCAATTCCCGAAGACTGAAATTAGCGAATATATACAGAGAAACCAAATAAACGACATTATGACGAAGGGTGTTCGATATTTGAAGACAAGTGAAGTTACTAATAGTAGTATAATTTTATTCTTATTAATAATTGTAAAACATTTTCGCTATATATGAACACTATCCAATGCTGAATATTTCTACGTACTTGAAGTTGGGTTTGTTTTTTATCGAGGTAGCACGAACCATTTTAACCAAACCATTTCAACCGTTCGAGACTAAATCTGTGTGAAATTAATGTAAACTTGGCATTCAACATCGCAAACTTAATAAACACGGGTGAGATGCAAAATTGGTCAGTAACAAGTCATATTTAAAAACTTTACCCAGAACCAAAATAAATGATTGGAAAATTTTACTTTTATAATTAGCTTCCTTCACAATGATTGACGGTTCGTAAAGTTGTCTCTTTCCATTCTCAAAACCTAAAGTTCTCGGTAAAAAAACACCCTGATTAGAAGTTTGTAGATTTATTATGACAGACGTCATGTTACTCACCAATTATATTCTTCAGTGGTTTATATTACTTAGGAAGTAACTTTTAGTAGTGAACTTTCAATTTGCCCTTAATCACAATTGAACAGATCCTCCCTTGATCAAGATTCATTTATTTTTTAGAAAACGTATTCAAAAAACTCTATTGTGAAATTTTCACTAAACAATTTTACAAAAACGCAACACGTGTTTCGCCATACAATGACTTCTTCGGGCGTGTCTTTGGTTTTTTTGAATACGTAAGTTATGGATTTTCATCAAGTATCGGCCAATTCCATCATCAATTTTTTAGATTTTGGAAAGGTAAAAACCACGATAAAACGTCTTTAAAGAATAGCAGCAGCGTTTAATTCCATTGATAAAGTTACTTTATTAACTTTTTCTGATAATAATATTTACAATGATCGATATTCAACGGCTAAGAAAGAATTTTAAAAAAAGGAACAAGTTGCTTACGGCATTCAATATTATTGGGAGAACAGTAGTCGTGGTTTTTTTTATGGATGGGGCGTCACTT